ATTACTTTTTCTACTTTTGGCTTACCAAACCAGTAAGTCGGTAATAATGGCCCTCCATATGGTTTGGCTGGAATTATCAAATTCTGCCAGGCCAATGGCATTGAACCGATTTTAACTCCACCTATTCATCCTTCATCAAATGGAACAGCAGAAATAGACGTAAAAGATATTTTAAAAAAATTGTTGAGACTGAGACAGTTAAATGTTGAAAACAAAGCTAGATATTCTTTGTCTATGTCAGCTAGATTAGGCCAATTTTTGGTAGCCTATAGAAATACGCCTTTCACGTCGACTGGGTTGTTGCATTCCGGAATTATGTTTAAGATAAAACCTCGTACGCGTCTGGATATATTGAAACCGGACATTGGTCACTGGGTTATCAAACAAAAATCTGAACCAGGTATTGTAAGTCATTTGTTCGTAACTGGAGAGAAAGTGTTGGTAAAATTTAGGAAGACTGATAAGTTCTGGTTTTATGGTTTTGTTGTAAAGGTGTTGAGTGCTGTCACTTATTTAATTAAAGTTAATGACATTATAAGAATGTTTCATACTGATTATATTCGGAAAGGCACCAAAAATTCAGTACATGGTTGTCTATCTTTTGTTAACTTGAAGCCAGCAGTATCTGATCAGACATCTGCACCTGCTGATCTTCCTCCGAGATGTCTCACCGCACAGCCCTTATCAGGTTCTGAAGTGGTAGCAGATTCCCCAGAATTTATTGGAGAAACACAGAAAAGAGTTTCTCTGCCCGCGTCAAGTTCTGTGACATATGAGAATATTTGGAAGACAGCAGTGACGGTCTCAGATACTGTGGGTTCGACTCCATTGGGGAGATCCACTATGGTTCCGAAACCTGTAACTAGACTAGACTTGTGAATTATTGAATTTTTTCAGTTTTGTAAGTTTTTGTTGTTGTTGTTGTTGTTGTTCTTTTTTGATTAAGAGAGGGAAAAATGTTATGTTTATGCATGTAAGGCTGGGGCAACAAAGATGTCAAATGTGAGAGTGGTATTGTCACTGATGAACATTTGACAAGGTGTGAAGAAAAATAGATTTTTGTCGAGTCTGAAGTAGTTTTTGAATAAAAAAACTTGTCTGCAATCATTGTGTTGTTAATTGCCAAGTTCAGGTCACCTAAATACACAGCACACTTGTTCCACACTTTGATTGTGAAGGGCTAGTTCGCACCTCCGTGGCTCTTTGGAAATGGTGAGTAAGTGTCTTTTCTGAGTGGAAATTTACATTGTGAATCTTTCGAACCTGTAAGTATATGTAGGAGTCTTTGTACGTTGTCTTTAACTTCGGGAGATTAGCACCGCATCGTCAGCATAGCACATTATTTTTATTTCTTTATTTCCTATTCGATAACTCCTTCCGCTCTGTTTTTTCCGTTAATGATTTCCATGATTGTGTATTGAGTAATATAGGGCTTATAGGCTGCCACCCTGTCTAATTCCGGTTGTGACGGATATTTTTTTTGTTGTCTTATTTTCTGCTTTAACGAAAATGTGATTGCCGATAATAAGATCTTTGCTGATGATCACAATATCCTGATGAACTTTCCTTTTATGTAGAAGTTATAAGAAGCCTGTCAGTCTCAAATGTTGGTTTGATGAATTCGATGGCTTTTTCAGTTATCTGGCGGAGTATGTAGGTATTTATATGGCATCTATAGTTGATCTAATGTATCTGAATCCTTGTTGCTCCTTGCATGTTCCAGTCTTGTCACTTCTGATATAGTTTTTGGGATCTGTATCCTCTCCTTTTTTGAAAATTGAGATTGGTATCCTGTCCTTCTATTCTAATGGTACCTACTTTTTGTATGAATAATATTTTATCGTATAGATTCTTTAGTTCGCCCATCATGAGTATATCCATCCCCTCCCCTGCATGTTGTATGTACGTACCAAGTGAGTGGTGGTTTTCCATTTGTGGGTGTCTCTTTTGTCTCAGTTTTTTCCTCTTGATTGTTGCGGAGCTGTTTAGAATGTTTGTCCCCGGCTTCAGTGACTGTCTTTTTTCTGCTTCTTAACATATGTTTTTCTGCCCTCCAGTCCTCTATACAAGTCGTGTTCCACATCAACAGAGAATTTTTCCCAATACTGTTTTCTAATTGACTGGATTTCTGCGTTGACCCGGTTCCTGACAACTTTATATTCCTCGTACGTAATTGTACCTATTTGATCGGTATTGTAGGTATGATTCTCGTTTTCCACTTGCTAATAATTGCTAGTTGGTCTGATTAATCATATAAACATCATCCATTACCATAACCATTAGACACCTTCATTTTATTTAGGTAAAGAACATAAGCGACTTTCTTCTAATACATTTTACAAAACAACTCCTCAATTTGAATTGGAATAAATATTCCTAGATAGGTACTCAAAAATGAATTATATTGTTTAGAGATTTTTTCTCTTACTTTCAGGTTGCACTGATGATGGCCTAGGCCCCAGGCCGAAAGCGCTCTGCACTGAATTGAAAATTAATAAACTGCACGAAATACAAAAACCTTCTTCATTTCTATTAATTAAATTTGATGTTTGTTTCCTAATTCATGTTTCTTCAAATTCACCTGCCACCGAAATATCCAACTACTACTTGAACGTTTCGCTATTTCCACCATACCGTTCAGTTTCACTTTAACCGGCAGTCTTTATGCTCCGGACTGTCGTGAGCTGACTTCAACAACCATGGTTTGATATCTATCTCTCTACTCAGAAATCCAATCCCAATCAATTCAAACCGTCTTTATTGGCTATCTTTCCAGAGACTGTTTTGTTGGCCCAAATTCTCTCTTGATTTTTCGAATTTTCTTCCAGTTGGTTTTATAGTTCCATCTATTTAGCTATTCAATGGTTTCTCCAAATGTTCAGACGCACCTGCGCCTTTATTGGATACTTTTTTGGAGTTACGAGAAATTGCATCAATTTTCTATTGGCCTATAGGAATTCATGGATTCTTGGGGTCACACCTGCACTTGGTCTAAATATTGGATCTTTTTTGTATAACACCTGCTGGCGTCCGCCTTCTCTAAGACAAGGAGTACAAGCTTTTGATACTTTCTGGATTGTGATTGTCAAATCAAGTTATTTGTGGTTTTGGTTTAGTTCCGTTGTGTGTTAACTAAGTATATGTTATCACTCCAATACCTACCTGAAATATAAAAAAATTACTCACTGAATGAATACCAAGCAGTTAAGGTTTCACAGTAAGTATACTGAATACCTATATCATGTTCTAGAACAGTCAACAAAATTTTGGTAGATTCACAAGCTAGGTTTCTGGAAAGGGCATTGCGCAGAAACAGCGATTCAGTATATTGGAAGTTGTAGTCTAGGAGGCAGTGACGATTTTCGGTACTTATTTTCCCAGTCAGACAACTTGGATAGAATTGTAGGGTTAGTAATTCTAAGCAAAATACATATATTTTTAGGGGGGTTTTTCCGATGGGTTGAGGCGCAAAATGCATTAAAGCTTACGAATGCAAGGCCCTCAGTGATAAAAATAAGTCTACTAATGAGAAGTATACTGAAGTTACGTAAAAAAATATTCCGGCTAATCTGTGAGTATGAATAATATTATGTCTGGCAAGTGAAAAATTGAAGATCCGAAAATTTTCAGCCAGACTCACATTCACTATCTGAGATAAGCCAAATTGCTATTTTCATATACTTTATATTCTATTGTAGTAAATGTGAAATATTTATGTCTGGGAAAATAAGCGTAGTTGCATTTTTCATTGATCTCGTGCACCCAAAATTTTACCCAGACTAAAAAATTCTTGCTTTGTATCACCAGGAGAACAAACTATTTCATATACACCAACTGGGGAAATAAGTGCTAAAAAATTTCACTGCCTCCTAGACTATTGGAAAGGGTCTCTAGAAAAAAATGAAATAGTAGAAGGTTCAAGCTATTGTTCGTCGATTTTTAACTGACACTTTCCGTACGAGGAACGAGGGGATTTTTCATATGGCAAAAACGAGCTACCAGCTCACATTCCGTCCGAGTATCAGATTAAAATCGACGGACAATATATGACTATATATGGATAGAGATATTTTATTGAAAAAGTTATAATTTCACGGTTTCAAAGGCGAAGGGTTCATGAAGCGCTTGACAATTATTCGAGTTTCAGATTTAGATCACAAGCTTATACTGGGATCTCTGCTTTTTATTTTGTATGTAAATATCATTGGAAAAATTTCTTTTTTTTTTTTAAATACCTAAGCACAGGGCTTAGATGAAATGAGATCTGAGTATACTTGCCAAACCTTATGTTCTTTAAGTTCAAATACCTACTTATCAATAATGTCCTCCTTATTCCACGATCCACATCCATGAACAAAAATCCTAATACAATAAAGTTCATAAAATGTGATTATTTCCAGTTGGCGTACTTCCGCAACAGGTAATTAAAGAAGGTAGATAATAAAATTAATCAAAAAATCATAAACGAATAAAATTATAACAGTTTTTAAAAATAAAGGTGCATCAACAGAACTCTACAGTTGGTTTTGTTATCACAATGAAATAAACAAAAACATTAACTTAACGTTTAAACTGTGACTGCATGGGAATGAAAATATAATTTTCAATTGACAAATATATGAAGTTGTTTTCGGTGCTAGACTGCGAAATAGACCGGGACTATAATACTCATATACTCGAAATAAATGGTCATATTACCACTGTAACTACGTAATTAAAAGATTATATTAGATATGTTTTAATAACAACAGTTAGTAACAAGTTAGCTTTGGCCATTAGTCACACCAGAACATTAACTTCGTATAACGGAATACGGCCAAGTAAATGGATTTACGCGCAAAACTACCTTACAAATATGGCATTACTGAGGAATTATCAAGTTCTAATAGTGGAAAAACGTTAAAAGACTATCGGAGATCATTAATTATTATCGATTTTTCAGATTATAGGTACCTATATGAAATTAAATGAGAAAGTATCCATCCTTAAACAATAACATCATGTATTTTTCAGATATCCACAAGCCAGCATGTAAAGTATCTGGTGCCAAATTTCTCACGGATGCTGGTTGGTCAGAACTAAGGAACCCAATGGACACAGATGTCCCTTTTAATTTATTTACCGATGAAGGAAGAACATTTCTACAAGTGAGTATCTCAATTAAGTGGGTAGCATTTTTCGTCAACAAATATGTATAGAAAAGCATTGAACAAAAATTTAGGAACACGAGTGTACAGAATAAACAAAGGGGGGATTATTGCTGACTGGGATATGCATTTCATCTTAGCAGAATATGGAATAAATGTTACATACAATAGTTAAGAAACTCACTGATGAAATTGCCAGAAGCGTAAACCAGAATAGGTATCCCAATCCTAAGCTTATATGACTGCTTATAAATGCATATTATATTTTAGGGATTTATTAACCTCGACAATCAATAAACTAGCAAAGAGGACTAAGGCAGCAACCTTGCTGTTTGAACCCATTTTTACGCCTCTCATTTCTTAAACAGGAGTAGGTACCTAATTGTTTTCAGTTAGAACTTCTTCAAGCTTGCCTAGCTTGCCTAGGCTCCAAATTTGCCTCTTTGTTGTTCATTTGTATCGAAAAATCCATATTGAAGAACTAACCAATATATTGGGCCCAATTTTCAATTTACTCCAGCTCACTTGTGAAAGGTCTGATTTGTAAAAAATGCTCAAAAAAAGCTTCTGGCAGCGGTGGGATTCGAACCCACGCCTCCGAGGAGACTGGTGCCTTAAACCAGCGCCTTAGACCGCTCGGCCACGCTACCTTATAATCCAGAATATTCTGTGAAAAAAGTAACGAGGAATGATGTATAGTTTGGCAACATTATCCTAAACAGGAGGCAGGCAGAAGAATCCTGGTACAGGGTGTTCCACCAGGAACCAAATCGATCTATACATTATGAAAAACTGTATGCAGAATTTTTTTGAAAATTTTACACTATACTAATGTCAATGGGGGCAACCCGGCTAAAATATTTTCAAGATGGTGGCTCTTCCGGTTATACCGGAAGTAGACGTCAACTTGCTTATTTTGAATGAGACACCCTAAATGTGATTGCATATTTGAATTCTACGTAAAACTCTGAGCCGATTTTATGTGATATACCCTATACCTAAGTTCAACTGTAAAATCGGTTTTCCTCTAAAATTAACCGTGTAGGTTTTACAACCTGTCAAAGTTGCAAAAAGTCAATTTTCAACTGTCAATATTTCCAAAATATTTGAATTTAGGTATAGATATTAGGTATGTTTCCACAAAAATCCCAAACCAGTCAGAGCGTTTTTGATTGGTCCAAATCCCCAACAACCAGTTTCCTGACTATTTCCAACTAATGAAATTCGCTCTGACTAGTTTGTGATTTCTGTGGAAACAGACCTTATACCACATAAAATCTACTCAGAACTTTACGTAGAACCAAATATGCAATCACATACAGGGTGTCTCATTTAAAATAAGCAAGTTGACGTCTACTTCTGGTATAACCGGAAGAGCCATCATCTTGAAAATATTTTAGCCGGGTTGCCTTCATTGACATTAGTATACCTACTGTCAAATTTTCAAAAATTTTCTGCATATAGTTTTTCATAGATCGATTTGGTTCCCAGTGGGAGTCGTGGGACACCCTGTATAAACCTACTGAAATTGAGTAAGGATCAGAATAAATCAGTCAAACTGTAACTAAAATAAAAGTATCTTCAATTCTATATTGCCTCTTTCCATGAAGGTGCGTTCGACATTATGAAAATAATCCAGATTCGGTAAAATCCAGAATGATATGGAAAGCGGAGATGAATGACGGCAAATGTGGACAAGAAGATGAAATAAACTAAATCAGCTGAAAAAATAAAATAAAATAAAAAACGAAGTATTACCACCGCTATATTTTTATATAGCGGTAATAATACTTCGTATACTCCTATAATATGAAGTAGGGTAGAACCAATTTAAGAATGGTACAGGTACATGTCTGTGCGGAGTTCTGACGTAGAAGCCGTAGTTTTTTCCATAGATTGTCATATTTATTAAGTTATAAATGGCGGTCCGTGACTTTCATTTTAAGGGAGGTGGCCCTGCCAAAAAAAAATTGCTTGGGGAGTGGTAAAACTCGCCGCAGGCGCCGTCGAATGCAGACATTTTATTCAAGTGCCTCGCCCAAAAACGATTATTTTAAGCCTTCAAAAAAACATCGCTTGAAAAATCTTTCAAAATTATGTAAAAATTCATTTTGTAGTAGCATTTTTAAAGGGGAGGCAGTGCCTCTCCTGCCTCCTCTGACGAGCCGCCACTAAAAATAAAACTAATTTGAATAAAATTAAATCTTCATGATAAATATGTTCCTACGTAAAACAAAGAATATAATAACAACAAAGTACTTCAAGTAGTTCAGCCCCAAAAGTATCACAGATTTTGTTCCCGTATTTTTTGCAACTAATGGTGAAATTAGGCTCTCCAAACCACGTGATTTTTCAATATGGCGACCGTGGAAAATTTGACGTTTGTTTGTTTATCTTGAGTTTATTTGGAATATTTTCAAGCCAATTACAGTTTACTTTGTTATAATATACTTTTTGAGATGCAGAGTGAATATTTAAAGACTTGAATGCAGGAAAATCGGGATCTGGGCGAACGGTTAGTTCAAAAAAATGTCCAGATGACATTTTGATTCACAGTTCACATTAATGAGCAAATGAAAGCCTAAAAAAGCTTAGATTCTTACGAATATTCCGAAAATGGCTTTATTTCAGATGCAGAAACAGTGGTAGTGAAAAATTTTCACGTTTTATTTGGAAAATTTTAAAACGATGGGCAATGAAAAAAAGCCTGACATCATCCTTGTTACCTTGTTGAAACTACTTCCACAATCAACTTCAAGACCCGTGCGTGTACCATTCTTAAGTTGAGTGAGTGGACTCTACCAATAAGATCTTTAAAGCAAATTTTACAATTGTTTCGCTACGTTCTCCGTCTTCTAATTTCCAGTCTCCATTAGTTCCAATCTCCGCATTCTCTATTTAGGCCTTATTGCTAATTTCACTTTCTACGCCTTCTCCAGCTTATTAGTACTTCCTAGAAACTTATCCTTTCTTTAGATTGATACACACTTTTCTAACATCAGAAAGTATCGACGATATCGGGAAGCGAATAGTTTTTGATCACATCGGGAGTATCATCTCTTGAAACAGTAACAAAGAGCGCGAATTATAAGAAAATACAGGAACAGGTACCAACAAAATGCAATAATATATGAAAACAGAATAGAATCAGCGGCAGACGCCTTCTTTCCATAGTTAACGAGTAAAAATGCTCAATGATTGGGAACAAAAATTCCACAAATGACGTGATCCAACAAAAAATAATGGAAAATTGAAACAATCGTGGTGCCAAAAGCAACGAAATGAACACCATATATTTTTTTTCGGAAATAGTGCCTCAATGTTCAAGGTTTTGTGGAAATCGATAAAGCTCATAGGTGTAGGTATGTGATCTGTTTTCGCCAAGATTGCTTGCAGATGCTCAAAAGAAAACCTTGCTCTACAGAAGGATAGAAAACGAATTTTTGTGTGGAGTGATCAACTATGATTTTTGTCAAGAACTTCTAATATTGGGACAGTAAACTACTAGGTGTGATTATTGTTAGAAGATCACGTGTGTAGTTTTGCATTCTAGTCTAATCCAATGATAATTTTTATGGAAAAAGGAGTGTGCTAGAAGGTTTTTCAACGGAATTATATGTTTTTTTGAGATGCTGAATACGAATCTGAAGTTTACTGCCTCCTATCAGAACCGGCTCAGGCCGAAAATCCCGAAAAACCTCGAAATTTCCGGACTTTTTCCGGTTTTCTGGTCATATCTTGCAAACAACGCATCGTACGGAAAATGTCACAGTATTCAAAGTTGAAGAGCATAAAATTTTGCGTCGAAAGATCTTCCTAGCCTTGTTACAGTTGAATTTATAACTCCAAAATAATAGTATATTGTGTATTAGGTTGAAAAGTGTCACATTCTCGGCCGACGGTGTAAGTTGACCGGCAAGGCGTAGCCGAGGCCGGCGAACACCGGAGACCGAGAATGTGCTTTTCCACCGAAATATACATACTATTTTTTCTGCGATCGGTTAAGTATCTGTCAAATATTTGTCTTTTTGTTCCAATTATTCAGCAGTACGAGAATCACTTTCCCGGTCTAAAGCCCGGGACACATCTATCATGCATCCTTCCGATCCGACTCCGATCATACAATGAGGGTCCTTATTCTTGGACAACAGGAAGCAGCGTTCCCAGGAGAACGAGTGTTCCGCTGCTCCCCTGTTCAAAGAATAAGGACCTTGATTGTATGATCGGAGTCTGATCGGAAGAATGCATGATAGATGTGTCCCTGGCTTAAGAATGACTTTCTCGGCCTAAGAATCTTTCCCGGCCCAGGCCGGAAAAGTGATTCTCGTATTGTTATTCATTGATTCCTTAGCAACTATTGAAACATAATTAGCATACCAGAATATTGAATTTTGCGACTCTCTAACGTAAAAAAATCTTCGAATAAAAGTTGTACTTAACCAAATATTGAGTTCATTGAGCACCAAAATTTTAAATTTGGATCAATATATACGCATATACTGATAATTTCTTGATTTTCCCTCTAAATGCTTTTTAAAAAAATGAATAGGACAATAATAAAAAGTCTGTGCCTCTCAATATGAATCCCCCTACTTCTCAAACCCCACTTGTCAACCCTAAATTACTCTCCCCTCCATTTTTTGTAAGTCTGACTAGATGTAATAGGAAATAATCCAATCAAATCAAAATAGTATATTGTTTAAATAGGAGTAAAAGTGCTTTTCTCCGAATAAAACATGCGATTTTTTCCGCAAACGGTGTTCAAAGCAATGGAATCTAGCAAATTTCTGTGACGTCACTTTTTTGTCCGGCCGGGAGCGTACAAAAAAGTACTTTCTTGTACGCTCACGGAACGCGCGGACAAAAAAATAACCAAAAAAATGACGTCTGTGAAGTCAAACTGCAATATTAGGAATTGAGGTTAAAAAAGTCGTCATTTTTTGACGTTTGCGGAAATAGTTATTTGTGTACCAAGGCCGTAAAGTTGATCTTTTTTGGCCGAATCAGAAATTTGCGGCCAGATATTTCAGGTGAGGCCAAAAAAAATCATTCGGCCGAGGTGCACACAAAATTTTTTTAGGCGAGTGTTTGTTCTTGAAAAAAGACGAAAATTCAACAGTAGCTTTAAACTTTTATTGATTAGATAAATAATCCAACAAAGATAGGAAGATACATAATTATTAGTAACAAAAACTACGATAAAGGAAGTGTGATTATAGAAAATTGCCGACTTTTTCGCCTGGTGTGCTTTTTTAAAAAAGTAATAGGATAGGGCTAAAATCAAAAATTTGGTTCCATTGTGGTTGCTAACTAATTGTTTATTGGTTGTGTTGATGGTTACGGCACTGCGTTTTCGATTGTCTGTTTATATATTTTCACCAAAGTAGCGACCGTAAAGTAAAAGCGGCCGTAAAGTAATAAAGCAAATGCGGCCGTGAAGTAAATGCGGCCGTAAAGTAAATGCGGCCAAAAAAGATATAATTTAGGGATGATATTGAATCCGTAAAACTAATCTTTTTGTGACAGTCGCCTAAAAAAGTGCTTTATTGTCCGGAAAAAACTTTTCATTGACAAAGCAGTCATCAACTTAAATAATAAAATAATAAAACTTAATATCTATCAGAACAATTACAAATTTTGCCTAAGTTCAAAATAATATGTTTACAAGGTGTCTCTACAGAATTCTTCAATATTATAGTAGGCTTTAGTCAAGAGTAACTCCCTTACCCTCTTTCTAAACCTCCCGTATGGACATGAAGACCTAATGGGTAGAAAATTGGAGGCTTTCTTGGAAAAATAAAGAAGAGACTTCTTCACCAAGGTGCTTCTGAGAATTGGCAGTGGAATAATATTAGCTTGTCTAGTTGAAGAAAGTTGGTCATGGTCATAGTATTTTCTATAGACCAGGCAAACACTTTCGAGTATAATAAGCATGGCAAAGTCAAAATTTTATAAGAAATCAAGGTAGGTTTGCAAGATTGTCGGAAGGCAACTCTAAGCAAAAACCTAAGGGTTCTTTTTGGAGAATAAATATGGAGTTGAAATTTGTTGTATGTACTAGCAACAGCCCCAATATGCAATTTCATAAGTAATGTGTGACCAGAGAAAAATATGCGGTCCTCCTCGTCCTGAGAGCTCGCAGCTCCAACAATCAGTTGGTACCCATTTGCAAAAAAAATAAATATATTTAGTCATTTATTTAGATTAACAAGATGAAAGAATATATACATAATATGTACCTACATATTGTAGGAAAAATCATGAGAAGACCATCAGTCAGCTGAAGAAAAAGAGCAAGTAAGTTGTAGTATAGTGTGGAGATACGCTCTATATAGAGAATACCTGATAGCAATGTTTAATCTCCTTCGTAATAAAATTTATTGCAGTTTTCACAAAAGTTCACTAAAATTGGACTTTTTCGACTGAAGTTGGCGAGCTGATAAATTTTACAGTAACAAGGTAAGGGAGGCCATTTGACGCAGAATTTTATTCTCATCGACTTTGAATACTGTGACATTTTCCGCACGATGCGTCGTTTGCAAGATATGACCAGAAAACCGGAAAAAGTCCGAAAATTTCGAGGTTTTTCGCGTTTTTCGACCTGAGCCGATACTGCTACGAGGCAGCGAACTTCAGATTTTTATTCAGCACCCCAAAAAATATATGATTCCGTTCAGAAATCTTCTACCGGACTCATGTTACGAAAACAGGCACAGAACACCATTTGATCAGACTTTTATACATATTTGTTGACTTTAATTTTCTTGATTAAGTAGGAAGAAAGTTTGCGCTTCGAATTGTAGTTTATCTTAAATATTTATTGGAAAGAACATACCTACCACTCTTTGTATTTCCTCATTTGTGTATATGCGGCATTTCTTCTCTTTATACATGGCTGTAGAATATTAATTATTTCTTTTGAATTCCATTTATCAATCGATCAATTACTTCCATTCCCATCTGACGACTACTTCAGTACATCAGGTATTATTCTAGCCCGATTAGATGATCGTTAAAGTACCTACATGCGATTTATCAGCTTCCGATTTTTGTTTTTGGTATTTCAAAGAAGCTTTATGTTAACAATTCTGATCTGGTATTAAAAGAAAAAAATTGTTCCTATTGATGTATCACAAAATGCATTTTGTACATTAATATGAGCCTTAATAGTGGCCCAAAAAACTGTATGTAACTCTTTTTTTTTCAATAGTGGACTGGAGAACCAGATCTACGAACCAAAATGTCTGGCCGTATGGTCATGGTACTGCTCATGTGTAGAGAACTGGAAGAAGAATTATTAGCAGATCAAACCCAAGAATTTTTTTCTCCATGTGTGTCATTCCGGATAGTTGGAACACCATCAAAAATTCAGACAAGTAAGCTTAATAAACTACTAAAGCTATGTTATTTTTACACCAGCGGTTTCAGATGTAACAGAGGTAGCTTTTTCCTTAGAAGCCCACTCGTCAGAGACCTCTGAAGGTGATAGATTAAGCGTTTCAGAATACATAGCTATTGGAATATGTTCTGTGCTTCTGGGATTAATTTATGTGGCATCTATATTTCTTTATTTGCATCTGAGGAAACGCAATTCAGCTAGAGCTTTAGAAAAAGGTAGGTAATTTAATCATTTGAACTTTTGAAAAAGAAAAAGAAAAAGAATTTCTCGAAGTAGGTAGGTATCGTTAATTAGTTTTCCAGGAGTAACACGTTACTTCACTATTATTGATGAAATTTTATGCATTATGCAGTTGCACATCCAATGGTATCAATGATTCAATTGAATCGTCTACTGGATATAAATGGGTTAATTTGAGCATTCCCTTTTAATTTTAGGGAGAGACAACAACAGCATTGCCGCAGTAGAAGAAGGCATAATCAAAAATAACCCCCTATTATCACTAACCCATCATTTTGGACCTTCAGAATCTGCCTATAGTGACACTAACAGTTCCGACACTGAGATTGCACCAGATTTAATCCAAAATCATGATGTAAGCTTTAACAAAATGAAACTGAAACATGACTCAATTATGATTCTGTTATAGACCCACATTACTTCAGCAATGATTCACTCTCAACAAAGCAGAAGATGTAGATCTTCCTCGCCATACCATGGTTACTCTTCTTCAGATTCCTACCAAGAGAACTCCAGCTTTGAAAAACTTCCAGAAGAAAATGTTTCTATTGTAGAAACTCTGGATGATCGTCCTGAAAGCTTACGAGCTTTGAATGGCACTATTAGAAAAAAGTTGTATTTTAATCCTGCATATTTTGAACCACATTTACTTGCGGTAAGTTTCAGCAAAATGTTATTGAACATAATTATTTTACAATATTCAGACTTTATCAGAAACAGAAAATCATTTAGTTAGAATATTCGAAACAGCATTCTTTCAAAAGTTTTTGACGGAGCTCTGGAAACGAAACCTCTGATATAAATTTTCAGCTTACAGAGCGGAAACCAATTAATAAGCTTTCAGGTCAAAATTTTAACAATTTTTGAAATATTTGGACGTTTTTTACAAAGTCACCGTTTCTCTGAAATTTATTTAAAGTGAACTCCAAAAATCGCACATTTCTTATGAATTATCCGACCTCGTAACTTTTACCCCTTCACGATAGCAACAGTAGTAAATATTACCTGAAATGGAAACTCTGTGAAGAAAATTAATGTGGAAATAGCTGAATGATTGAATGATTTAATAATTTTAAGGCTCCGCCACCAGCAGCCCTAGAATTCCTAGCCAAAATCCGAGAGGTTATAGCTGTGGCCAAGCAAAAATTAACTACAAAAAGATATGTTCCTACTCTATTGAATATTCCAGAAGAAGAAATAAATCATATAGACAGACAGTTTGATCTTGCAAGGCCGCTGAGCAGAAGAAGTAGTTTAATAAGTTTAAAAAGGGAAAATAGCAGAAGGAAATCTTGTACTGGATGTCCTGGATGTGAGCCACAAGATTTCAAAAATGCACGAGGCAAGCTGGCAGAGTTTCCTGTATTAGGAGGATGTCAAAATTGTAAGAATTCCTCTTTGGTTATTTTTAATGATGTTTTAAAGAAAATTCTTCCTAGGTTCCACTTCTAATGAAAGTAAACAGCGCAGCATCCGTAAATGGCTAGAAGACATTCCCATTTTGCGTGTAGACGAACAATCTGGTCCCGTGTCCCTCAATTCCATCCGGAGTCCTAAGAGGATACGCTCTCCAACCAGGTCTTTGCCTCCAGAAAATAATCCCTCTAACAGAGCCCTATCTCCAAAACCTGCTTCTGAACAGGGTAATTTGAAAAGAAACAAAACTAGCCGTAGTCAGATTTGTAAACCTAAGTTGCCTCCTCCGCCAGCTCCAGTGCAGCTGCAACAAAAAATGATTGAGGAAGGTTATTATGATATGGTGCCTTTGGAGGCTAAAATGAATTATCCACCTCCGGATATGATCCAACAGGTAAGAGAATGTGATCTGTCTGTATCTGAGAAAACCCAACTTACGAAATAATTATAATTACTTTCGTAAATTTCTAATTTTATGGCTGAAAAGCCTTGAACAAACTTTTGCTTCCACAGCCATCTCGATAAGTTGCATAACTATTTCATTATACATTTCTTGAACTATTTGGTTAAATATACGTTTATTATTCATATTTTGCAGGCGATGGAAATGGAAAATCAAACAGAAGTTGTACCAAGGATACCAACCCTCACCAAAAAGCAAATGAACGCTGTGATCAATGAATTGACAGTGCATAAAAATATGCTGGAAGCTGCCAATAGAGAGCTGGCTAAACGAGCCAGTGGTGGATATGATACGGATAGCTTAGAGAAAAATAAGACAAAAGGTAACTTTCTGTCTCCTCCCTTTTCTTCTTCATCTTTATTATCAGTTTTTCTTCCATCTTCTTCCAATATTTATCAATAATAATTATCATTGATGGTATTCCAGGTTATTGTACTCCAGTAGAATACGTAGAAGTTTCCTCATCTCAAGCTAGTCCCAGTTTAAGTACAGCGTTGCCAGTTGACGAAGAAATTACTATGCAAAATGCAATTTTTAACAAACAAACAGGTAGCATGACTTTATCAAAACTTAACGTCGATGACGATGAACACGATTATGAATTGGTAGTGTTGAAAAATGGTTGCTTGGTTAACAAAGATAACCTTTATAAATTCCCTCCTGAATTGTTAAAAAGCAATCCCCAAGGTGGTTATAGCCTGGTGAGTGAAGTTTATGTTAATAATGGTTATAATTATGGGAGTAATCCATCGTCACCGTCAGAATCAAATTGTTCCACGTTGGAGAAACGAACATTGAAAGTTAGATATGATGGTGGAGCTGATAAACCTGGAAAATTATTGATAGAAGTTGATGATTGCTTGGATCATTACATTCCTGTGAATGATTCGGATGAATTCGAACCTGACACTCTGGATCGGCCGAATAAAAATGCAAAATTAACAGTTGCTAAAAATAACGAGCATAACGAACAAATATTGTTACGCAGCAAGGGAAGTTTTAAAAGTCAAATATTAGACATTAATGCTAATGATAGTGAGCTAAGCAACTTCAATAGAGTTTTCGGAAGTTTACGAGAAATGTACGAAGAAAAACGGAAACAAGCTAAAGAAAAAGAACATTTCAGTTTGGAATCTACTGATATTGACGACGCAGGCAAATTGCTGACTTTGGAAGATAGACATTCAAAGAGGCAGAGAATAAAGACGACATCTTCTGGAACAGTTATTCCTCCGGATTTGATACCGCCGCCTCCACTTGATAGTTCACCAATTTATGAAAGGCCGAAACCTCCAAGGAAGGTGATAAATTTGGGTAAGAATTTTGAAATTCTATTTTTAATTTTCCTCTTAGTTTATAGCATTTTTCAAAACTTAAATAATATTGAGTAGGAAGTTTTATTCATTTGGAAACCCTATAAAATATAAGCCAATCATATGTAAACCTGATAGCGTTGTGGATTGAAATCAAGAAGAGCATGGGAGCTGCTAGCTATAAGTATACAAATTTACCAGAGAAACACTTCAAATTCTTTGAGAATGGAAGAGTTTCCTTTCTTGCAGATGCGTTTCACTCAATCGCGTGTATTTCTATATGTATCTACAACCTTTAGTTAGGCTTTCGGAGAAAATTGAATCCTGTACACCAAGCTGTTGATCTTCTTAACGATCATGTATGGCGAATGGCCATTCCCACTGTCTGTGTAATTTCGTGCCTATCCCCTTCCTTCGCTGTGGTTTTTTAGTGGCTGGTCATGTGTCGAGTCTGATTCTCATGCCGTCACTGCTCAGACGAAATCTGTTACGGGCGAAGTCATGAACTACTCTAAGCCTGTCCTGGAGATCAGCCACGTAAACTGGATGTTTTCCAAACATTAGATCTACGGGAAGCTTCATTGCTCTTCCAGTCAACAGTATGCATGGTATATAGCCCCAGTTCCGCTGGGGCTATATACCATGCGGCGTTTTTGATTGATAATCCGATTATGCCTCTCGACCATTCCGTCTGATTGTAGATGATGTGGAGTCGTTCTCGTTTCCCTTATTCGCAGTGACTGTACCAGTTGTTTCCATGCTTCGAGATCAACAACCCTCCACTGATCGATATGAATTCCAATCGGTACGCCGTTTCTGGCAATCACGTTTTCCAGTACTGCTTCAGCATCTGTAGCCGCTTCTTGATTGGGATATGGACTCAATTACTTCTGGCCACTTTGAAAAATGGTCCAAAGCAACCATAAGGTACTCGTTCCCTGACCAGTGTAGGAAAAGGATCATCAGACAAGACAAGTACCTACTGCTTCATTCTTCCTCGCGATTATGTCTTGGTCCTTCTTTCGAAGAAAGGTCGCATCCCGCAGGCACAACGAATCCAATTGCAGCCAGAATCCCTTTCTCGTTGGAACAAACTCGTAATTTCTTATCATCCAGGTCGATCTTTTGCTAGTCAGTCACACATAATTTCCAATTCCTTTTTATCGTTTTTATCTCTCTCGAAGTATTTTTTGGTAGTGTCGTCATCAGTATTAGTATCAGTTTCGGTATTCTTAGCACATGTGTTTAACAAGGCCACATTTTTCGACGGAGTTGTTCATACTTACCATCGTCTTTGCAATAGGCTGACGGCGTTGGCATGACTTATTCCTTTGCGATGTTTGATTTGGAAGTCGTAAGTTTTCTAACCGACGCGCCATTTGACTTTCAGGGTTTTTGAAATTTAGCAGCAAACGTAAACTGTATGACAGAATAGTCAGCTTTAATAGGGAACTATTCTCCATAGAGAAAATCCTGAATAGATATTACTACAGCAAGAAGCTCCTTCCAGGCAGGTGATACTATAATTTCTCTCCGATGTCCCAGGGATTCATAAAATATCCGATGACTTCTTCTCGCCACTTTGAGTTTGAGAGAGAACAGCTCCTATTTCACTTCGCGGTGTGTCGGAATGTCTAACACAAATTGCCTTTATCCATGGAATACAGGAAGTATGTATTTCCAAAATTTTTAGAAATGGGCATTAGTAATGGACTTCTTGCATGATTTTTTTTTATTTGCTTATTGGAAAGAGGAGTCAAAATAAAGCTCAACTGTATTTTTTCCGATTTTTTTCGGACTTGCAAAGGCTCTAAATTTCGATTTGAAGTTCAAATTTCTTGGTGCCGTGACGTCACAGCACCAAATTTCTGATTGGTCAATTTTATTCAGTGTTGCCCAGATGTCAAGAATTTCATGTAAACTTTTCCTGGGGGCGACAACTAAATCGATATATCGAATTCACAGATTTGTAAGTATCGGATATGGAATCGATTCTGATCCCTATGGAAAACTTAACCCAACTTTTCAATTCATTTATTATAATCATTATTTATTTTCATTTATTTATTATTAGCCTCTCCAAAACAGACAGAAGGCAGAGAAGGCACATAAACCATCAAGAAACAAACAATAAACCCGAGCATAAGGCCATTATGTCGTTCATAATTGAATACCTTAGGTACTCATTTACTAGTGTGTGCTTCTAAATTTTAGAGGTTTCTACCTAATAAGCATATAAGGGAATCATTATTTGTAGAAGGTTGCTCTACTTCACCTGCATTTCACTAATACCTATCTACCGCGTACCTAAAGTCTGTTTTTTTTTTAAAGATACTTGGGATTATTTTTCTTAGTAGTTTATGGGATCTGTCTCTGTCAAAACTGGTATTCCAACAATAAATTGACATGTTTTGATTGTTGATTTGAACCAATCAGATTGTAATTACGCGATAATTTGCACTAGTGTAAATTATCAGATAATTGCATACCTACTAACTGGTGCGAAAACTGGTGTTTTGACATTTTTTGACAAAAAATTTAAATTTTTGATTTATGAAATTCTCTCATTAAATACAACTCGTGCAATGGAAATTTATTTATAATTTTTGACAAATTTGCACTCATGCATTCGGGCAAATTTCCCAAAAATTATCAATAATTTCCATTGCACTAGTTATATTACTATTAATAATTATATAAGTATGTCAAGGTATTCAACTAAGTATGATTTATTTTGTTTCAGAAACTGTAGCTCATCATCCAAAAAACGAGAATAACGGGAGTGTCGATAAAAATTCGGAGCAAATTGTCACTCCTGAGAACGAATACAAATTGTGCCTTTTACAAAAATCGAAAACCAACGGCTTGGTAACTGATTTAATTCAAACTGAAGATTTAATATTGAAGAAAAACATCAACGATCAATTTGTTTTCCATTCAACCGTAAGTCACAACAATAACTTCCCATTGCCAATAAAGTCTTTATATGGAAAAGATTCTCCTAAAGTTTATTTCCGTAATAAAAACAACGGCATTGCTAGAAAAACTTGGCATAGACCTGAAGATTCTGGATATCTAAGCACAGACTCCAACGAATCCAAAATGAAAACTTTAGAACGAAATGGCAGTGAAACGGACGAAAGTTTGGGCGATGGCCATAGTGAATCTGGAGCAGAAAGTGTGGAAACTCATTCAGTTTTTTTTGGCCGATTCCATAGAAATCCAACAATGATACACTCATCGTCTATGGACAGCGGAGTCATGAATTGTGAAGATGTACAATATTCAAGCAGTGACTCGGAAACTGTAAGTTATACTACTGTAGTTCCAGTGGTTCCAAGCAAAAATAATACGATGGCAATGAGATAATATTTTATAGTAATAATTAGGTTAGTGATTCAATGTGTATATTGAAGGTATTAATGGGTTCTCAAGTTTGTTAAATGCTAAAGCATCAATTTATACCTTAAATATGTGGACAGTTGTAATGAAATATAAAATATTATTACTATGTAGTTACTTATAGTGCAATATTGTAAATTTGTGATATAGATTACGCGGGCCGGAAGTGCAATAAAAATGTAGGGTAAGTTTAGCTTGTAAGTTTAATGTAATTTGAAAACCTCAGGCTCAAGTAGTGGTGTTTTGAGGTTTTATTCATCCAACATTATGCCGTTTAATTGACGTTAAAATGCAGTTTTTTCTTTTCACATATTTTGCTCCTTCGAAATTCTATCTTTTCCGTAATGCAAAAAATTGAAATAATAGCTGTTATATAGGTATACTTTTCATGAAAGAAATGGACTTTATAACTTTGAAGAAGATAGTGGTCGCTTCATGGTGGTGTTTCTTCACGTCGAAAAATATCATATCAAGGAGTTTCTGGATTGTTGATAAAGGGTGCTTGAGCTATGCAAAATTGTCCAAGTAGTCGTCATTGCTCGATGATTGAATGAAGCGGTGAATAGCAGAATAAGTATTTCTCAGCCACAGAGACTGCTCATATTGGATCCAGCAGTGTCCGAAGACCCACCCCCACCCAATATACACTGCCGAGCATAAAGTTAGGGTCACCCCATAATTTGCAATTATTTTTAAAATGTTTGGTTTTTGCGAATTGTTTTTTTTTTGGTGTAAAGTTCACTAACTTTATGCGATGATTAGTAGTTGCTTGAATTTAAAAAAGTTCTTGTTGTTTTGCCTCAAGTTTTGCTTGCAAATTATGGGATGACCCTAATTTTATGCTCGGCAGTGTATTTTTCTAAGTTCGGAAGTTGCAAGAAGTCCGTGATTTTACCAGGGATTTTCTTGAAGATTTTGATACCAAGATGAAAATAGCAAGTGGCCTTTCTCCACCTTCCGAGTGGAGAGATCCTTACCCATTCCTTGCCAGTTACCAAGGCGCATGGCAAGCGATGTTTCCTATCTATTTCGACCTCAAAACGAAGGCAGTTGGGTAGAAATAAATGTCCACAGTCCCTTAGTCCCACATTGACTATCCGGAGAGCCACAAAGATTCTGGAGAAGGCAAACGATCGAGACGCACAAATTGGAAAGTCCAAAACACTAGCAAATTTTACGTAGACTCTCTGAAGTAAAGGGAAGAGGGGCAATCAGTTGACTGACTGATCTGAACAAAGGAAAACCATTATATTATAAAAACCCGGAAAACGAAACATCGGAGGCATTTTGTTTATGATTGGTAAAAACATCAAGGTATACATCCAGATATTCAAGACCGTTTTCAATATAAATGGTAACATCATTCTTAACATAAATGAGAGCTCATTCAGGCCCATGCACCGACCTCACCTAGCAATGACGAAATTTTTCCCTAAACAGTCACGGAGGAAAATCTATTATAATGGGCCACTTCAATGAGGTCGCAAATTCACGAACACAAAATTGGTAGATTCGGATACGGAATCAATAAAGTAATGCAAAAAACTCTCAGAGAAGACATAAAACAAAACAACGAAGCAATGATAAAAGAGTTATCGAAAAGAATAGATGGCGAATGCCTAAAATCAAGATTCGATACGAACAAAACCCTGGGTATGAAAGTGAGAATGAAACAGAACATCACCTAAACAAGAACCAAAAGGCTTCAGATGTGGTCTGTGGATAGTTGATTATAGTGACCCATACAATTCAAATCCAGATCCTGACGTGGAAAAATAAAACAATAACCAGCGAAACATAGAACATGCACAGATGCACAGATGCACTGGATATCGAAGAATTTGATATCGAGAAGGCAACTGATGATCAGGGTCGTATTTTCGAATATTTTCGCATACGAAATTTGATACGATTTCGAATGCCCCCATTTAATTTACATTGCTGTCAGTCAAATTTCGTGAAAGAAAGGTACTCGAATGGTTTCGAAAATCGCACCGCTGGAAATACACAAATAACTTAGAGGTCTTCTTGAAAATCATCGCCAACCACTTATCATATAAAATCGACTGCTATCATTCTGTTGAACAGGCTGGGTTCAGCCATGTTGCTAATACTGACCATCTCCCTTCCATGCAACAAAAATCCAATGAGAACCATTTTTCTTGTTATCACACTTTCTTCGAATTTGAAAGGCATTCGATAGCATTGAGTTATCAGCCATGAAGTGAGCAATATTCAATTCAAAACATTTGCAGACATTCCACATTGCCACACTGATAGTAGGTACAGCTGGAAGAAGACACCAACTCCATTCCAATCAGGAGAGGAGTTAGAAACTTTTCATGGAAGATGTATTAGAAAAACTAAACTGGTCTAGACACGATATAAATGTAAACTACAAACGATTTGGTTCGCCAGTTATATCGGACTCACTTCCAAGATTTATTTTGAAAGCTTCAGTTGGTAAGAGCATTCGAAACAATAAGTTTGAAGATGCATATAGGGAAAATAAAGGTGATGACAAAAACGCAGTAGGAAAAAGATGAGTAACAATTGAAAACTTCGCTTTGAAAGTCACGAAAAACATCCACATACTAAACCTCGATAAAATCAATCAAACATCGGAAATTTCACGAAGATTTATGCTTACATGGGCAGGTTTTATGAATCAGAACCAACAGATTCCACTTTATCTGAGAAAGAGAAAATGCCAGACAAAAAAAAATGACTCCGCTAAACAGCCCCTATCTCACAGTCTAAGAGCTTCCATACAATGTATAGGGTTGTCAGAATTGTAAATTCACGCAGACAAATGGCCAAGGATAGGATAATGCTGAACTTAGGACTCTTCAACCACATATAGAACTCAAAGCTATTATAATGGAGACCGTAAAATGGACGCCGATCTATACTCGCTGTGTTGTCTCCCTACACCTCGCGCTAAAATCTAGTACTTTTTTCCCATATAATACACTATTTTTCTCTGTGACGGGCAAATCTCATCATTTTCCATCTATACATTATTCCCTTTGAGAAAAAAATTTAACTGGTACCTGTTACTTTTTTCCCTCGGGAAAAAAATTGACTGGTACCTGTTGCTTTTTTCCCGTCGGAAAAAAAAAATCACTTTTTTCCCATGGGAGAAAAAGTGACATTTTTGCCCCTGTCAACAGGTACAAAAAGTCTACTTTTTTCCCGTCACAGAAAAAACAATATTTGTTGGTAGTTTGGGTAATCCTAGGACCTTTTCCATATCGTAGCAAAGGGTTTCTATGAGTGGGTTCCCACTTGCTTCCTTTGAATTCAACTGACCTCGAGCAAGCTGCGCATTTTCAAGATGCGTATCATGTTGTTCTTTTAAAACTAGCTGTGAATTCTCATTCTGCGCATTTTTTACCTGTGAATAATAAATGTCACACTTGTTAGGTCTTTTATAGGGGGCTTTCGCCTCAAGTTGAAATGTTTGTAAATAGGTACATATTTTTATAGAACTGACAACTAACTTTGGGATTTTTGTGTTCTATATAGAGTTCAAACATTTTTCTTTCTGTGAGGTCGTAAGGTGAAAATTTCGCTTCAGTTTCTAACGAGAACATAGGTAGGAAATTTGGCTATATGATATAATTTTATTTATTGATTCTTCATCAATTTTCTCCTTTCCTCCAGATTTTCCTCGCTCGTCTTGTATTTTGGTGCTACGTTTTTTTTCTAATGCAGTGTTAACCCGCTTTGTGGATATTTGGTAGGTGTTGATATAAGTATCACGGCACACTTCAACCTCTCCAAGCATATACACTCTAGTAAAAGATTTACCTGGCCCATTAGGCCCATCCTTAGTTCTTTCACTCATTTTTAGTTCAAATTGAAATCCAAAAACATGAAAACCAGTACCTACCCACAAAATCACAAACAAAACTAACCGAAAATATAAAGGGAACCAAGCGACAGTAATCATTTTCTATAAACAGTACTGGAAGTTGGATCTTTTTCTATAACAGAAAACTGCTATTTCGCTCAAAGTCGCTTGGATCTTCAATCAATACATGCCGCTAGAATGCCGGTAGGCGCTTGAGACTTATTACACATCTATCTTCTATCTTCTATCTATATATATAAAAATCAAAGTTCACGGGGTATCCGGATATGCGCTCTAAAACCAGTTATCCGATTAAGATGAAACTTTGGTAGGTTATTATGGCCATCCCAATGAAGGTTTGCGGATAGGTTACGCATCTCGGAAAAAGAAATTAATTTTGAATTAGTTATTAATTTAATTGTAAACAAACTCATTCACATTACATAACAACATAACCCAACTTTTTTTGACAGCATGAAATAACGTTGACATATTTCATTTATTTAGGCTTGCATTCAACCGACGTAACTTTATTATTTTTTGATTTCAAGAACGGCTGGACCGATCTTGAATCAATACCACGTATCTCTATATAAGGTAAATTCGATTGACCCAGATTAGATCGATTTGGGTTCAATTTAAGTGAACTTCTTCTGATCTAGATAATTTTTTTGTTGATGAGGGTGCACTGATCCAGCTTGAATCGAACACAGTGTGGTTCATTTAAATTGAACCAGATTGATCTAATCCGGTCAATCGAATCGGCTATAGAGAAGAGTAATATAGGCTATTTTTTATCCCGAAAAAAAAAGTTCGGTTGCGTAAAACTCTGATACACTGGAACGCCTATAAACAGCCCGGGGCGCTCTAGAGCAGCTCTGGAGTGCTTAAAATGCGTCACTGAACTCACTGGCAAGCGACTCTGATATCGGATTAAAAAAAAAAAGATAAATAGAAAATCAACAACAAAATTTGAAAAAAAGTGTATTATTTCAAAATGTATTTACACGCTAGCAACGCAGCGGGTCATTAGCTAGTTAAAAATAAATGCCAAACTGTCGTATGGTTCCATAATCCAGATTTTTGCAATTTGGCGCTTGGTTCCTTTTCA